AGCGCGGCCACCCTGCCGGGAAGGGGCCGCGAGGACGCCCGGTCCGCAGCCCGCGCAGCCCCAGCCGCGGCGCCCTGTCTGAGGTGAGGATCCTTCGCGCTGGCAGACCATTGGGAGGGTTCTGGCGTGAGTGGTGACGGGCTCTCGGCTGCCGTGTGACTGCGAGGACGCTCGAGGGCTTTCCTGCTCCTTGGTTCTCCTCTCCGCTCACCTCAGAGGTCACTTCCTCTGGGAGACCTCCCTCGCACTGGGATTCATCTGGCCGCCTCCCTGGCATTCTTCACACTTACTTGGTAGTTCTCAGCCCGCATTCTGAGGGTGAGGATCCTAGGAGCCTTTTTTTCTGGTCTTGGACACCTGGGGATGTGAATCATTGTCCTCTTTTACCTGCTCCAGGCGGCCGCTCCACTTGGGCCCATCAAGGAAGAGGAAGCAGGATGTCTGGCTTGGGGGCTACAGCTCCATACCTGCATCACCCAGCGGATAGTCATATTGGCCAGGCCAGTTTCTTGGGGCCCCAGCTGCCTCCAGAAGTGGCAGCAATGACCAGGGTCCTGGAAAGTCTGGACAGAAGCACATTCAAAAAGCTGCTGAAGCTTGTAGTCTGCAGCCTGCAAGGGGAGGACTGCCGAGAAGCCGTACAGCACCTCAGTGCCAGTGCCAACTTCCCGGAGGAACAGCTGGGTCTCCTACTTGGAGGTACATACACACTCCTCCAGCAGGCCCTCCGGTTGCCCCCCAGTAGCCTGAAGGTAGACATCTTCAAAGACCAGCTCCAGGAGCTTGGCATTCCCTCAGACCTGGTTGGAGACTTGGCCGGCGTAGTATTTGGGGGACAGCGGCCCCTGCTGGACTGGGTGGCCCAGCACCCAGGGGCCTGGCTACCCCACATCTCCAGTTTCCGATGGCGGGTGGATGTGGCAATCTCCACCAGTGCCCTGGCCCGTTCCCTACAGCCAAGTGTGCTGATGCAGCTGAAGCTCTCAGATGGATCTGCCTACCGCTTGGAGGTCCCCACAGCTAAGTTCCAGGAACTTCGGTATAGTGTGGCCCTGGTCTTGAAAGAAGTGTTAGAGCTGGAAAAGAAGTGTGAGCGCAGACTGCAGGACTGAGCCCTCACGTGTCAGGCATTCCAGCTGGTGTGAAGTCCCACCTCCTATGTAGCAGGCTCCTATTGAGGGTCTGGATTGTATGTGTGTGATTTTGTTTTTCCAGTTTTGAAATAAATTTTATTTGGCATATGTTTTTCCTAATTGCTAATAGATTTCAGTGAGTTAGTATAGGAGGTTGGAGGAAGGAACTTTCTTTCTAAGAAAAGTGGGTGAGCATGAACAAAATCTAGAAGGCATGAAGACTGAAAGGGCCTGTGCTGCAGCTATGAAAGCTTCTTGCTTGCTTCATTCCTGTAGCTACTCAGGAGGCTGGGATCTGAGGATTGAGGTTTGAAGCCAGCCAGGAAAGTCTTAAGACTCTTATCTCCAATTAATCACCAGAAAACTGGAAGTGGTGCTGTGGCTCTTGTGGTAGAGCCCTAGCCTTGAGCTGAAGAGCTGAGGGACAGCGCCCAGGCCGAGTTCAAGCCCCACAACTGACAAAAACAAAAAAAGAAAAAGGATTAAAAATAGATCTCCCTGGGGCTGGGAAGGTGGCTCAGTGGTAGAGTGCTTGCCTCGCATGCATGAGGCCCTGAGTTCAATTCCTCAGCACCACATAAGCTTTTAGAAAAAGCTGGAAGTGGTGCTGTGGCTCAAGTGGTAGAGTGCTAGCCTTGAGCTGAAGAGCTGAGGGACAGCACCCAGGCCCAGAGTGGGAGGGTTTGGCTAACAAGATAGATGAAAGAGGAGCAATATGGTTGAAGTAGATCGTTTGCAACTATGAAAACAGCGATGATATCTGTGGAAGTTCTTTTGGTAAGGGATTAAGGGAAGAGTGATAGAGGGTGTAAGATTGATCAGAATGTATTGTAAATGTGTGAAAATGTAACATGAAATCTTCCCTTATATAATGTAAGCTAATAAGAAAAGAAGATAATAATGAAGTTTCAGGTCTTTAAGCTCTTTGATCCATTTAGAGTTGATTTTTTTTTTTTTTTTGTCGGTTGTGGGGCTTGAACTCTGGGCCTGGGCGCTGTCCCTCAGCTCTTCAGCTCAAGGCGAGCGCTCTACCACTTGAGCTACAG